TCTCACGTCTGAGATTACACACTCATCACATTGCAGGTGTGTGTGCCCGTGTGCGACCATCTGACTGTGGCCCAGGGTATCTTCATCACATCTGATAGGGAGGGGCAGTTATTTCCTTCCTTAGCGACTGGCACCCAGCAAGCAGGTCAGGGGCTTGTTCTGCGGTTGCCTGGGGCGGACATCATACTTAGCATAGTGCCTGTGAGCGTCACCCGGGTGGGTGCCAAACTGGCTTCTGTGAACATTCGTGATTTTAGCTGTTTGTGGATGTGGTTTACAAATGCAGGTTTCCTAGGCATTGGGATGTTAATCTAGGGCATGGAAACAGTCATTTGGTGTTTGATGAGGCTGAGGGATTTTTATTATATGTTCTAGGTGTATTTATTTATTTATTCATGTGTTTACTTACTTTAAAATGGAAAGCCAGGCCTGGTAGTGCATGACTCTAATCCCAGTACCTGGAGGCAGAGGAAGCCTTGGGCATCTTTATGGGTGTGAGGCCAACCTGGCTTACATAGGTGAGTCTAGGTGAGCCAGGGAGACATAGTAAGACTCTGTCTTTAAAAACCATACCGCACCACATGTGAGGCTTCACTGTGTTGCCCAGGTTACCCTGAAATTCTGGGCTCAAGTGAGCCTCTTCCTCTGCTTCCTAAGCTCCCAGCAAATGGAAGAACAAATGCCACCTTGCCTGTGGTGGGTTTGAGATGCCCCATTGCCTGTGGTGTTTTAGAGAGAATGCTGAAGTATCCGTGGATGCCAAGCCATGCTGGGATTTGCTGCAAGATAACTTGGCACTGGAGCGTGCTGGGAGTGGAGAGAAAACCAGAGGTGGCCTGGAGGCGGCCGAACTGACTTTTTGTTTTGGAGCCACAGGGTGGGGACAGGGGACTCTGAGCCTCTGGTTCTTTCCAGGATAGAGAGTCAGCTCTGGATCCTCAGTCCCTGGGATGTGAGGGTGGGTGGAGTCCAGCCCTGTGTTTTCCTCTGTGGTCCGTCCCACTGCAGCCCTTTCTTGTCCTCCCAAACTTCCTCTGCCTTCATGCTGAGCCAGGACCTCTGCCCTACTTGGCAGCCCAGCCTTGCTGAGGATCTTTTGGCCCAGGTGGGACCTGTGCTTCAACTTGGCATAGCCAAGCAGGGTGAAGCTTAGCTTCAAGTTCTTGGAGATGGGGGTCCTAGAGGGAGCTCTGTCAGTTGGCAGCAGGCGGTGCCTTTGTCTCTCCTCCCCATTTCCTCCCTCAGAGAGGTAAAGCCAGGCTGAGTGACTTTACACCTCCTCACCTCCGCGTGAGCTGCTTGCCTCACTGGGCCGCAGGAACAGGCCCACCAGCTTTCCTGTCTGCTCAGCAGTCATTTGCCTACCTCCTAGTGGTGGAAAGAGGAGCCAGTCAGAGTCCCTTGAGGAGGCCCCTTTGCTAAGCTGGGTGCTGGCTGGTGGACAAGGCTGCTAAGCCTTTGGCCGAGAGGGAGGAGTTTGTTTGTCCCACTCCACAGGATGAAGCTGCTTTCCAGGACTCTGCGCCTCTGGGAGGTGGCGAGACAGGTAGCCTCCTGGAGCCTGGTGACAGACCAGGGGTGTTTGGGGCTCAGGGAAAGAAGACGCTGGGCTTCCATGAGGGCTGTCGGAACCAGAGCATATCACCAAAACTCTGATGATTACGCCATTGCCACGAGAAGGTAGGATGACTGGCGAAATTCTGTTCCCTCAGGACTCTGCTCAGGGCCTCAGGTTGTAAAACACCGAGGGTGTGCTGTGACTTCTTCAGAATGAGGGCTGGTGAACGGCCTCTTGTCACTAGGGAGTCATCATTTGAGACCTGTAGCGCTGTTCTTTTGGGGACCAGTGGCTCCTGGACTCTAGGCTTCGCAGCTCCAGGCTGTAGGAAGCTGGGCCCTTCCTAGTCATGAATTCCTTTGGGTGTGGTTGGAAATCACCACATCCTAAGAACTAGCAGCTGTGCCCGCCCAGGCCCTCTTCCAAGCTGCTGTTCCAGGTGGCAACTTCCGCACACGCCCTGTTTGGTCCCGGATGAATGAATGGGCTTTTATTTTGCCTGAGCTTTGCAGAAACTTTGTTGAGATGTAATTCAGGTCTGTACATTTTACCCATTAAAGTTCACAATCTGGGGGCTGGAGAGATGGCTCAGTGGTTAAGAGCGAGCACTGACTGCTCTTTCAGATGGACCCGGGTTCAATTCCTAGCACCCACATGGCAGCTCACACCTGTCTGTAATTCCAGTTCCAGGGAATCTGACACCTTCATACCAATGCACATAAAAAGTTTGTTGTTGTTGTTGTTGTTTATTTATTTATTTATTTATTTTTGGTTTTTCGAGACAGGGTTTCTCTGTGGCTTTGGAGCCTGTCCTGGCACTAGCTCTGTAGACCAGGCTGGTCTCGAACTCACAGAGATCCGCCTGCCTCTGCCTCCCGAGTGCTGGGATTAAAGGCGTGCTCCACCATCGCCCGGCTTGTTTTTTTTAAAAAAGAGGTATACTCTTGAAAAAAAAAAAAGTTAACAACCTTGTGGCTTTAGCACCTTCTCTGAGCTATGTCACCATCAGTTGCCTCAGTTTCGCAAGGGACAATAAGGTGTTCTCCCAGCTCTTCAGACTCGGAATCCAGGGAGTACCCGGGAAGTCTTTGTATGCTAATGAGGTGACTGGGGTTGGCCTCTTGAAAGACCGTGGGAAGGACTGGAGGGTTTGAACTTTTGGCTCCATCCCATTGCTTGCTACTCCTGGGGTAGAGGAGGGTCTCAGTTTGAGTTAATCACCCGTGACCAATGACTTGATCAGCCATGAAACCCCCTTTAAAGCTCCTGATGCTGAGGTTAGCATTTATTTCCGAGCGTCCCTTTGGCAACCACCCCATCAATCTGGCTGGTCCTGGTTGTGTCTTTTATTATTTGTGTAATTTTGAGCTAAAGCCTTAGGATATAATCCAGGCTGTCTCTCAGCTCTCCTCTTCTGCACCTGCCCGCCCAGTGCCAAGATCCCAGCAGAGTGCCTGCAGTCTTGGCCTGGGTAATGAGCCTGTTAGAAGTCTCTGAGATAGCAGATGGAGGAGGGGCTTGTGGGAAGACTGATTTAGGTGACAGTGACGAATGGGCTTGTGTCTCGCGTCTGAAGCAGCTGGTCTCTGGGGACTGACAGAGCCTTGGGCCTGTGGAGTTGGTGGCATAGGGGCACTGAGTTGAAGGAGTGGAAATGTCACCTGATTTGTCAATAGAGGTGGTGTGTGCAGAACAGCTCACACCTCTGGGAGTAGAGTCAGAACCACCTGGTCATCAAGTCAGCCTTTGGGGCATGCAGGGTGACTTCCACAGGACCCGGCTTCATCAACCTCTCCTGGCCTGTGGGAGGGCTCAGTGTCCCCACATCCTGGCCAGCACTTGCTTGTTGGTGGGTGTGTAGTACTGTCCCACTGCAGGTCTGATTGGCACTCGCTGGATGACTCAGGTTTCTCTTTGCTTTCTTATTCCAAGACAGGGTTTTTCTGTAACAGCCCTGTCTGGGACTTGCTTTTTTTGTTTGTTTGTTTGGCTTTTTTTTTTTTTTTGTCTTTTTGTTTTTCCTAACAATGTATTTTGTAGCCCCGACTGTCCTGAAACTAGCTCTGTACACTGTGCTGGCCTCAAACTCACAGAGTTCTGCCTGCCTCTGCGCCCAAGTGCTGGGATTAAAGCTGTGTGCCACTACACTTGGCTTCTTTTTCTTTTTAAGGATTTATTATTTTTTTAATGTATGTATATTATGTGTGTAGCTGCCCCCCAGAGGCCAGAAGAGGGTGTTGGGTCTTTTGGAGCTGCAGTTACAGGAGGATGTGACTGCCTTGTGGGTGCTGGGAACTGAACTTGGGTCCTCTGGGAGAGCAGCAAGCATTTTTAACCAATGAGCCAGCTCTTTACCATACTTCCTCCGACTCCTCCCCACTCTTTGAGAGAAGATGTCATTATTTAGCTGGGTTGTCCAGGAATGAGTTCTGTGGACCGGGCCGGCCTTGAAGTCACAGAGCTCCGTCTGAGGCATGTGCTGCATTCAGCTGTCTTTTGACTTTCTGGGGACAGAGTCTGACATCAAGACTAGCCTCAGACTTGATTCTAGTTGAAGCTGGCCATGAACTCTGACCTTTCTGCCTCCACTTCCTGAGTAGCTGGGGTTGCAGGTGTGTACCACCACATCTGATCTTGGCCTGCTTTCTGGTAGGCTTGTTTTTTATTAGTTGAGTTCATAAAAGTTCTTTATACATTCTAATACAATTTTCCTTCTCAGATATTTTTCCTAGCTGCCAAAATTGGTTAAAGTTCAGGTAAGATCACATTTATGAACTTAACTGTTTCAGAGTGTGGAATTCAGTGTTGTTTAGTTCTATCCATACCACATTGTTGTCTCCAGAGAAACTAGTCCAGCACCATCAAACTGTCCCCATCAGTCTTCCCCAGTCTCTGGCGGCCCCCCTTCTAAGGTAGTGAAGTTAGAACTTTCTGAATCTGACTGCTCTGGGGCTCCAGGTGAGTTGTACAGGTCTCGTGACAGTGTATTCATTAGTACAGGGCCTTGCTCATTCGCGTGGTTGGATGTGTTGGGATTTCCTTCCTTCCTTTCTTCCCTTTAGTTTGTTTGTATGAATGTATGTATGTATTATATGGTCTCATGTAACCCAGCCCACCTTGAGATTTTCCATTTGATTTATGTGTATGGGTGTTTTGCTTGTGTGTGTATTTGTGCATCATGTGTATGGCCCTAGGAGGCCCGAAGAAGGTGTCCCATCCCCTAGCACTGGAGTTGCCGACTGCTTGAGCTGCCGTGTGGGTGCTGGGAATGGAATGTGGGTCCTCTGTAAAAACAACCAGTGCTCCTTACCCACTGAATCATGTCTATGGTTGTCAGACTTGGTGCCTGGTTTATGCAGGGCTTAGAATCAAAGCTTTGTGGGCAAGTGTCACCTCTCTAGAGGTGGTGGGACCTGGGAGAATGAAGCAGAGAGATGAGGTGGGCTAAAGCCTCCTGCGATTGCCTGCTTTATTCAGAGCCTCCAACAGTTTATACTCGAGGATTGAGGGTCACATGAGTAAAAGTCCCCCGAGTTCAAGCTGTATACAATCACAAAGACTAGCCACTCTTGGCAAAAACGTGTTTTTTCCATAGAGCCATGGGAAGGACAGGTTAAACCTTTAACTGAATGACAACAGCAAGCAATGATGTGTACTCTGAAGTGAACTCACTCCTGTCCACTCCACCTGGGAGAGTGTGAAAACACATTCAAAGAACAGTTCCCTGTTTGAAGAAACTGAGGTCACGAGACTCTTGATCTCGTGGAGTGCTCTCTCAGCACCCAGAATTGGCTCTCATGGCTTTGCTCCTGGTCTGTGTGCTGACAGGCGAGGACTCTGTCCACGGTGCTGTGTCCTCGGCCTCTTTCTTCCCTTTTAAAGGCAGGGTAATGTTCCTCATGTGGACAGCACATGCTTCCTATTGACATGCCTGATGGTGGCTTGTGGGCAGGTCCCCTGTGCTGACTGTGACATAATGCTGCTGTCAGCATGACCCATTGGGATAGCTCTTTTGATTGTTCCAACTGGACATACTCCCAGAAATGGTTCACCAGATGATAGGGTAATTGGCTCTAGTTCTAATTTTTTACGGAGTACGCCAGGTTCCAGCCCCAAACCAGCACACTTGTTATTTTCTGTTGTTTTTAGGGGACAAACCACGATCATGCCATGTCACCTAGCTGGTCCTCGAGCTCCTGTGTCCGTTCTCTTCTCTTGAGACAGTGTCTCATTGTGTATTCAGACCCTACCCTGCACAGGCCTCCTCTGCTTTGTGAATATTGGGTGTAAAGGTGCTCCAGGCCCGGCTTCTTATTAATTTGTTTATTTATTTTTATCTATTTTTTTTTTAAATCTGTAAGACTTATCGCAGCTTTCCAGGAGGTAGAACAGTTAACTGTAACTTCAATAGAAAAGTCTTGTGGCTGTGGTCATTCCAGTCGCTAGTGGATGGCCTCAGGATAGGGCGTAGCCTTCTGTGGTGTTGGTGTCACAAACTTTACGCTGTAGCCTCCATTCCTGAGCCAGCCACTGAGCAGAGTGAAAGAGCGGTGTGACGACGCCCTGGGTGGGCGGTGTCTTAAGTGTCATTTGGCAGAGCGATCTTGCTCTTCACTCTCTGACCCTCTGGTGTCCACAAACACCTGGGAAGCAAGGAAGGGGTTGGGTAGCCATCTACCACACAGGCTTTTGGGTTCTCCCTGTAGTGGAGGTACCTGTTGGCGGGTGTCAATTTTTCTCCACAGGCCACCTCTCTGTGTGTCCCTTGACACTCAGAGTGAGACAGGGGTGACCTCGTATTCGACACTCAAAGTGAGATGGTGGTGGCTTCATATTTGGGATTGTTTGGGGCACTGCAGCCTGCTGCCTTGCATCCCTGTAGATATATGAGTATCCTCATAATTGTAGACATGTGAGTATAAATACCCCCACCTGGGACCGCTCTCCCCAAGTAGCCCCCGCTTGCCTGGAATTTGCTTTCTAGACCAGTCTGACTTCGATCGTCCTGCCTGTGCTTCCCAGTTGCTAGGATTGCAGGTATGGGTACTATGTCCAACTCTTGTGGAGGCCGTGTGCCAGCATGGTGTCTGTTAGTGCAAGGCTGCAGTGTTCTCAGTGATGTCTTTCCTGGGGGTCACGAGGCACAGAGGGCTTGGGTGGGACCAAGTCTCAGTCTCCATCCCATAATTGTACTTACTGAAATGGACTGAGCTCTGAGAGTGCACCCAGGGTCAGCGTGTCAATCCGAAACCAAAGGTAGCTGTCAAGAGTATAGGCTCCTGTGAAGGGACAGTGCGGGTGGAGTTGGCACTTGTTCAAACTACTTTATGGAGGCATAATTTGTGTAGTTCAACCCACTTAATGTATTTGCTCAACTTTGACCTATATGCATACATGCCTGCAAAGCTAGGCCATGGTCAAGATAAGGGACAGGCCATCGCCCTTGGGAGTTTCCTCCTGTTAAGTTTTATTTCTCCCCGCCTGTGGTGGCTTGAGTAGGCATAACCCCCATGGGCTCATATATTTGAAAGCATAGTCATTGGGAGTGGTGATACTTGAGAGGGATTAGAAGGTGTGGCCTTGTTGGAGGAAGTGTGTCACTGGGGTTGGGCTTTGGGGTTTCCAGTGGTTCCCCTCTCTCTTCCTGCTGCCCGTGGATGCAGATGTAGAACTGTCATGGTGCTTCTCTAGCACCTTGTCTGCCTGGGTGCCGCCACACTTCCTGCCAGGGCAATAGTCGGCCAAGCCTCTGAAACTGTTAAGCAAGCAGCTTTCTTTTCTAAGAGTTGCTGTGGTCATGGTGTCTCCTCACAGCAACAGAACACTGAGACACCACTTCTTGCCTTCCCACCTTCAGGCACCTGCTGACTGGCTTTCTGTCATGTGGTTTTCATTTCCCTAGAATTTTATAAAAATGGAGTTTGAGCAATGACTTTGGTGATGTATATCTAACTCGAGGCACAGGCAGCAGTGTCGCAAATTCAGAACTAGCCTGAACTACACAGTGAGGGCTGTCTCAATAACCAAGAGCATGGGACTCAGCAGTTAAGAACCCTACTGCTCTTGCAGGATCCAGGTTTGGTTCCCAGAACCCACATGGGACACCTGGCAACCACCTGAAACTCCTGCCCTCTTTTGGCCTTCACAGATACCTGCACACATGGGGTAGGCACACACACACACACACACACACACACACACACACACACACACACCCCTAGCATGTGCAGGGTCTGGACTTCACTCATGTGGCTTTCTGTCTGTATCTGTCCCTCTCTGTGACTGGTGAATGTCCCATCAAGTGACAGACGAACGGATTCTTAGGGGACTTAGGCTGTTGTATAGAAGATGATGAGAATACTTGACCACAGGCCTCACTGGTGCTTGTAGGTGATTGTAGGCATGCTGCAGGTGGATGTAGGCTGCTGTGCTCAGCATTGGTCCTTGGATAATACACATCCTCTCCGGACTGTATCTGCTCCTTATACAGTCGCTCAGGATTCCCTCAACTCCCCACAGCCTTGCTGGCCCTAAGCTTATTTCTGTACATGCTTAGATCAAATGAATACATTCAGATATCTCTGCAAAGATAGAAGAATTAAATGTGAGTGCCTGGGATCCTTAGTGCCAGGTTCAGTGAAGTTTCCCACAAAGACTTACTCGTTCTGTAAGCTTCAGGCTCATCTCCATCTTTGGGTCACACTACTGAGGTTTTTACTTCTTTGCTTAAGTGTCCCTGAGTAGCTGGGGATGAGACAGTGATGTTGGCGATTCCAATCCTGGTGTTGGTGTTCCCCTCTTTGGACTGCTGTAAGAAGGTGCAAGAGGTGATCGTCTCAGGCTGTAGTTCCATTTTCCAAGTCTTCAATTTCCTCACTGTTTTCCTTACCCTTCAAGCAGTAGTTGGAATTTTCTGGGTTAGCTTGATGCGTTCTTATGAGTCTGCGACTTCCTGCCACCTTGCACTCAGCTTTCAGTCTGATAATTAGCTGTGCCCTCCACATGATGATCTCGCATCGGCTAATGTTTGTCTTGGAACTCAGATTCCGAACTGAGCCCACGCTTCACTGGGTGGAAAAGTACTGGGGAAACTGGTCACGCTTGCAAGGGCCTGGTGACTGTGTCAAAAGTGCTTCTTTCTGGTGTCAGTGTGTGTGTGTTCTTTCTACTTCTTTCTTGCTGAGACAGGGTTTTCTGGAGGCTCAAGGACACAGGTTCAGAGGTATTAGCCCATTGTTGCCAGGAGGGCGGAGCAAAAGAGTTATGCCACTGTGGGCAGGAAGCCTGAAGCACAGACTCTAAAGAGATCATTTTATTTATTTATAGTTAGGATAATGAATAACAGGTTTTATTATTAGTTCTTTTCCTTCTTGGTTTATATATATGTCTGTGCACCATGTGCATGTCTGGTATCCGTGGAGTTGAGAAGAGGGAATCAGATCCCCTGGGACTGGAGTTCCAGACAGTTGTAAGACATCATGCGGATGCTGGGAACCAAACCTGGGTCCTTTGGGAGAGCAATAAGTGCCTTAATCTCTGAGCCAACACTAGCCCATCCATATGACATTTAGTACACTTGTGTCATTGTCTTTTGTTGACATTTGCATACCCATCATCTTTCTGTCCCCACCCTTCTGTTCTCTTCCTTCCTTCCCACAAACAGTTCACACACACACATGCACACACTCACACAATACACATGCACACACGCAGTGCACGTATGCATGCACACACGCACATGCGTGCATACACACACACACTCACATTCAACTTTTTTGAGATATCTTTTTGAAGTCTGGATCCGGCTTCCTCTGGCTTGACGGTTGGGCTGTAGAGGGAAGGAACATGCCCTCTGTCTAGGGGATGTGGATGTGTCACGTCCTGAAAGTCTGCTGAGGCCCTCTGTAAGCTGGCCTATTGTTCTTTCGAGTTTCAGGTGCCTGGCTGGCTCTGTACCCACTTCTCTGTGACTCTAGAGCTTGGTGCTTGGCGAGGTCACCTGCTCTCTTTGGAAAGAATGCTTTTCCATGCTGTTGAAAGCTGCAGAAGGTGGTGGTCTATATTCCCTGAAAAACACCAAACACAAAGGGAGGTGTGGGTGTTGCCTGTTCCTAGGCCCCCAGCTGGCTCTCCTTTGTCTGTTAGTGTAGGAGTGGCATTACCAGCTAGCGGAGTGGGTCTTTCTTTTGAGACAGGCCCTTCTATGTAGCCCTGACTGGCTTGGAACTTGCTGTGTAGACGAGGCTGGCCTTGAATTCACAGAGATCTGCCTGCCTCTGCCTCCTGAATGCTGGAATAACAGTCATATGCCACCATGCCTGGCAGCTGTGTGTTTCTGCCAAGTCTTGGACGTGCCTGTCTGGGTCAAGGGTGCTTTTGGAGGGTCCTCCCAGAGCATTGCTCTCACGGCCAGCCTACGTCCATGTTATTTCCCATATCCGTTTGGCTGTTTATAACTTCTTGAAATAAAACTTGCAAACCACAAAGTTTACCCCTTAGGCTATACATGCGGTCCCTGGATGTTTAGTGAACCCAGATATTGCCCAATCTGTGTTCCTGGGCACTTTGATCAGCCACAGAACTGTACCTGTGCTCTACACGATGGCCCAGGCCCTGGCAGCCGTCAGTCTACCGTCTGCCTTCTTCTCTCTATTCTTTGTGGGTTTGGTGATAGAACCCAGGGCCTCATGGGTGCAGGATGAGTGTTTAGTACTGAGTCCACAGCCTTTTACTTCTCAGAGAAAGACTCACAGTGTAGCTGTCAGCCTCAGTCACAGCCTTCTTGCCTCAGCTCTCTGACTGCACAGGCTGGACCACCACTCTCTCTGCTTCTGATACCATTGTTGTGTAGGCCCCTCAGTCCTTTTGAAAATGTTAATTTGTTTATTCTTGTTCGTGTATGTGTGGTGTGTGCATGTCTGTGCAGGTGTGTGTGCAGGTGTCTGTGCATGTCTGTGCAGGTGTCTGTGCAGGTGTATGTGCATGTGTGTGTGCATGTGTGTGTGCATGTCTGTGCAGGTGTGTGGAGCCCCAAGTCCCTGTGAGGTGTTTCCCTCCATTTTTCTCCACTGGCTTCTTGTTTTGTTGGACAGGGTCTACCTCTCCACTGGAACTTCCTGATTTGGCTAGACTGGCGTGTTCTGCAAATGCCTTGAGGTCTTCCTGCCTGCACCTCCCAGCTCTGGGATTCTATTGAGCCTGGCTTTTATGAGGATGCTGAGAATAATACAAGCTCAGATCCTCTGAGTCATCTCTCGATCTCCCCGTCAATCCTCTTTATGGTCAAATGATGCTCCATTTATGGACTTAGGAGTGATGGACATGAGGGTTGTTTCCTTCTTTTGGTGTATGAGGGGTACCGCTGTAAATGCTCCCAGACGTCTGGTTTTGTCACATAGGTGACTTCTGGTTAACTTAGTAGGCAGAAGCATTAGCTCTGACTGTTCTTTTTTGGAATTATTCATTCATGTGGCTGAACCCTGGGCTGTCATCCTCTGTCATGCTCAGTTTCCATTACTCTGGAGGCCTAATAGGTGCCTTACTGCTTGGGGTGGGTAGTGTGCTTGATATATCTGAGGCCAGGCATGGGAGAAGCGGGGGTTGCTTAGGGAGGAAGCAATGCCTACCTGGAGGGAGGGGGCAAGTCCAAAGGGCACAGCACTGGGTGCCAGGGCTGATCCCCTACTTGCTTTTGGCTGCAGCTTCTAGAGGGAGCAGAGACGGAAGAACATGCTCCTACTGCAGCGAGCCTTGTCTCTTCAAGTCCACAGAAAGGGAGTCACCCAGGCCTGCCTCAGGGAGAAGGTCAAACAGTGAGTTAGGACCTGGGAGGACCTGGGAGGAACTGGGGTTCCCCAAGTAGGAGAAGTATGTTGAGACCTGCCTTGATACCTGGGTGGTCAGAGCTGTGGTGTCCAACCCTGGGTCCTAGGGTGCTTCGGTGTCCTTGGGGTGCTTTCTTCTGACTTGAAGGTAAGAAACGGACCAGAACCACAAGGCTCTGGAGCCTTGTGGTGTCCGCTACTTGCAGGCGTGATGCCTGGTCCTGGGTCTTTCTGAAGCAATACTCCTCTGTCTCTTGGTCCAGGAGAGGGAGTGGGGGTGAGGAATGCCTATCCTGGCCAGGAGATCTTTGCCTGGCTCAGGGAACCCCATCTTGCCTAGTGTACAAGGCATGGGGCAAAGATGGGAGAGATGCGCTTGGTCCTTACTCACATCTGACACAACCATGGTGCTTTGCTTGGATAGGCTGCAGTCAGGTCTGGCACCTCTCAGGCCTGTCCATGGTGCTCTCTGCAAATGAAGGCATTTCTCCTCAGGATAAAGTGCCCCTGGGCAATCAAAGACCCAGGTTCTGCATCCCAGGGAGGGCCCCTGGCAGGCTGTGTGGGTGGCGGAAGGCCCTGAGGGCTCCGCAGAGTTGGTCTCTGACTTAGAGCTCTGAGGGCTGTGGCCCCTGGCTTCCCTCTGGGGAGAAGTTTGGTGTAGTTGGGGGAAACTTGTTTAGGATCATCTGTCCCCAGCTTCTAGGTGTGCACTAGCCCTAGGCTGTCAGACCAGGGAGGGAGGGCCAGGGAGTCCAAGGGGCAGGGCTGCATACCCTCTCTTTGGGGCCTAGCTCTTGTGGTGATCAGGGGAACAGGGTTACTGCCCTCCTTCAGGAAGGCTGGCTCTTAGAGGTACCTGTAATAATTTGCCTTAGTTGCTTTTATCAGATAGTCACCTAATTAGGAAGTCCCCCAGGGCTGGGCCTGTCAGGAGCGGAAGCTGGAAGCAGGTCCTTTGGTGGGGCTGTCTGCTAGAGCAGGCCTGGCTGCTGCTTTTTGTCTGCTGGGCTCTTTGGCCTCAATCCCTGTGACAACAGACGCAAGGCCTGGGCCAGGTCAAGATGCTCTTTCTGGAAGGACACCGAGTAGCCTACAGTTGGCTGTGTCCTTTGCATGAGCCTGTTAGCCTGTAGCTTAGTTTCCATTTCAGTTCTGCCTGCAGGTTCATGGGGAGCAGTGCTGCTGAAGGTGCTTTGGGAGTCGTGTGAGGTCTGGTCCCTCCCAGGGATCAGCCACTGCACTTGTCCCTGGCCACTGTGGCTATTGACTTTGCTAACCAGTGGTGGGAAGTGGGCGTGATGAGAAGAACTGGCCATGGTGGGAGGCACTGGGGACCCTCGGGGTAGCTGGTAGCTCTAGAGCTGTCCTGTCTGAGAAGTGGTAGGAGCAGACTGTGAGGCCCAGACAGTTCCCATGATCATGTGAGGGCTGGGGCTAGACATCTGTCCCCTTCCAGCTGCCTTTAGGCCCTGCTGCTAGAGTCAGATCTGAGATTCAGTGGGATGCAGGCTTAGATCAGGCAGTCTCCTTTCCCATCAGCCTTTCGGCAAGTCTAGATGGCTGGCAATAGCTTCCGGCTGTAGCTCATCTTGTTTGATTGAGCAGGGCTGGGGAGGGCAGAGCCTCCAGATGGCATCCTGAGTACTACTCAGTGGGGACACCTCTGCTTTCCGCTCCCCTGGTGTAGTTGCCAGAAAGGGCTGCAGAGTTGCTTCTTCTGTAATGATCGGTAAAACAGTTTCCATGACAACTGGCTTTGGTTGCTACAGCCTCTTCCTGTTTAGATTAAGCAGTTCAGGAAGTCAGCACCGTAGTCCCTGAAGACTGGTCTGGTCAGTGGTTTGTTGAGATGGGGCTGGTCCAGGCAGACCTTGACTGCTTCTAAGGATGAGTGGCTCTAACTACCATTATCCTTGCTTCCTCCTCTTCTTATCCCCCCCCCCTTTTGTTATTTTATTTTGTTTTTCCGAGACAGGTTTTTTCTGTGTAACCTTCCTGGAACTCACTTTGTAGACCAGGTTGGCCTCAAAACTCATAGAGATCCACCTGCCTCTGTCTCCCAAATGCTAGGTGGGATTAAAGGTATGCACCATCGTTTTTCTTCTTCTTTGAGCTTGTTTGGAGGTTGTAGCAAGGGAGTGTAGCTACTCATATACCCTTGACTGAAGATAGGCCCTCCTATATACAGGGAAGGTCGTCCTCTTCTGTCGAGAGCACTGAGTGCACAGCTTTGGGGCGGATGCACGTGAAGCAATGAAGAAGCCATGGTGATGGGTGACAGATGTCACAGCCAAATTGCCTTCATATCCTGTTTTTGTTTTTGAGACAGG